GACCGGACGGGGGCCCTGGATGCCGGCCCCGGGGTCCGAGCCCGGCGCCCGGTCACTGCCTTTCTAGCCTCGTGGAGCGGGGATTCCCATTTCCTAGCGGAAGCCCTTGGTGAAACTGCTGGACAAACGGCCCTGAAAGCGCAGGAGCGAGCCACAGGCAAGCCCGACGACGTGGCTCCACCGCGGGCCGCCGCGGGACACCCCTGCTCAGGGGACGTTGCTGAGTCGGGAAGCAAAGCGCCCCGCTCAGAGGAGGGGTCTCCGGCCGGGAGGCGAGCCTGGGGATGCCCACACTCCCGCCAGTGGAGACAGGCGAGGGGGGGCCGCCGTCTGTGGAGTCGTTCCTCCACCCGCATCGGGACCACCCGGGAGGGAATCGTGTGGTCGGCCCGCTCCCGTCAGCCTAGGCCATGCTCCCTCTTCGGCACCCGGGGAGGATCCGTTTGGCCTGGACGCACGTGACCGGAGGCTCTGGGTTTCTCTCTGTCCCCCACTGTTGGGTTTTGCCTCAGGTGCCTCGGAGCTCGCTGCAACGCCCGGCTCGGACGGCGGCACCAAACCGAGGTTCTTGCCGATGCGTCGCGGCGGCCACTAGGTGGCAGCACTGGGACGGGCTCACGGCGGTGCAAGGCGGAGGCGCTTCGGGGCGGCCCTACCTTATCAAACAGGGCGATGTAGAGGGAGAACCCAAAGCGGTCCTTGAGCGAGATCTTGTCGGCCAGCGCGTTGCAGAGCTCCTTGGCCGTGGTCGCCGAGTCCGTCAGCAGGGTCTTGGTGGTGCCGTCCATGAAGGTCACGGGCAACATGATGGGCTTCTTGGACTTGGTGGCCTGGGAGGGACCCAAGAGGGTTTGTGGGGCTCTTCGCTGCAGACCCACTCACTCCCTCTGGACTCCGGCTCTCGGCTCCCTGAGGGGTTGGAGCCCAGCCTCCTACCAGGGCAGTGCCTGTCCCTGTCACAGGTGCCCAGGGACCCCTGCTCTGTGTGCCGCCCCACGGGGATCTTTGGGACCCCTGAGCCGGGGCCCTGGAGCTGAGAGGTCGGGCACTGACCCGGGCCAGGGGCTTCTGCTGACACTTTACAGGACCGGCAGAAGACCCCGTCAGATGAGTTTGCCATGTTACAGGTGAAGCCACCAGGACTCAGAGGGAACCCCCCTTGCCCAAGTCCCTCTGGCCATACGGTTAGCAGATGGGGGGTTCGTCATCATGTGGGGCTTTGTTGTTCTAATGGGCCTGGGGTTCCAGAACTTGGGGGTGCATGCTTGAGGAGCCACTGGACCCCAAAACAAGGGGCGTGTCTGGGTCCCTGAGCCTCTGGACACATGGACACATACACACGCACACACGTGCACACACATGCAGTGGGTGGGGCCGGGGCCACACCTGCAGCTCCAGCCAGCTGGGTGGCTGTGTCCGTGTCCCGTTGACGAAGGTCCTCCTGAGGCGCTCCTCACAGTACGGGGCGTAGCCGGGCGGCCCCCCGTGGATGAAGTTCCGCAGGTACTGTAGCACAGCCCCCCGTGAGGCGGCCTCGCCCGGGCCGCCCCCAGTCGCCAGGCCTCATCCTCCCCCGGGGTCTGCCTCCAAGCAAGTCTGCCCCACCAGTCCTGTGCTGTCCATGATGCCTGCTGTCCTGGGCAGCCCGGCCACCACAACCCCACCCCTCCTCCCTGCAGCCTTTTCTGGGGCCTCCCCCACCCAGCCTGGCGCCTCCCCCTCCTCCGGGGCCCATCTAGCCTCCACCACCTCCTCCACCCTCTTAACCCTGATCCGTCCGGTGGGTCCACGTCTGTGTCCCAGCGCCCAGGGCCTGCCCTAGGATAATTGTGCAGAGGCCCAACACATGCTCTTGTCAGATTCAGCCATAAGTAAAGTGGGGCTGATGGGCAAGGTGGTGGTTGCCCGGAAGGAGGGTTCCAGGGCACGGGCCCAGAGGGAGGTGGCGAGGCCTGAGAGGTGGCCGGGTGGGCCTCAGGACCAGGCCGTTCTGAGCACCTTCCCTGTGCCCGGACAGGGCCCAGCTCCCCTTCCCACCTCAGGAGACCAGGCACCTCCCTACCTTGACGAACTTCTCGGAGGGGGCGAAGCAGCCCACGCAGAGAGACACGAGGATCCAGCCCCGGGCATAGCTGCTCTTGGAGGGGTTGTGGGTCAGCTGCTTGCTGATCTGGCAGTAGATTTCATCCCTGGGCAGGTGAGGAAAGCGAGGAAGGTGGAAGCATCCCAGAGGAACAGCCCCGGTCCCCAGCCTCTCCCGGCCTCTGGTGGAACGCCACACGCTGTCCTTTCCAACTTGCCAAGACCACCCAGGAGGAGGCAGAGAAGGCCTGTGTGGGAGGGCTGAGTCCAGGAGTCTGGGGAGCCCTCGAAGGGGGTCTGGCTTTGGAGACAGAATCATTGAGCATGAAGCACATCCCCAACTCCAGTCCGGATTCCATAGCCAGGGCCCCTGAATCCAGCAGGGGCTGCATATCCTGCTCTGGGCACACTGGCCACAGCCACTGGGGCCCAGGCTGTCAAGAAGCACAGGCCTGCCCCTGCCTCGTCCCTAACCAGTTGGGTGGCCCAGGCAGGTGAGTTCACCTGTCTGACCCCATTCCATACTCATGGCAGCAGGCACCATTTCTACCAAGGGCAACTAAGCAGAAAGGAGAAGCATATGGGAATGTCTCTTGGGAGTGTGGAACTAGTAGGGACTTTGATCTATTTCTGTAATAGTTGAATATGCATAAGCGGCCATGTATTACTTTTGTCGTGAGATTAAAAGCAATGAGGGTAATTTTTTGTTTTCATTTTAAAGAGATACTTCCAGGTCAGCTGTGAAGACCAAAGAGCTGGGGCGTGCGACGCACCTCGCACAGGGCCTGGCACAGTGAAGCCTTCAGGATGCCCCCTGCAGTTGCTGCAGTTGTTCTTGGGAATGGGTTTCCCCTCCCTGGATCCTCTGACTGCAGCCTGCCTGCCCAGGGTCCCACAATGATGCAGTGATCGCCAGGGGCCGCTCACCGCCACTCTACCCTCTCACAGGACGGGGCTAAGATTCACTAACTCAGCCCATCACCAATTTTGAGAGTTCATGGATCATTAAAATTTCAAAGGAAATTCTGAAAGTTGTCCATTTTTTATCGTGGCAAATGAGAACATTGATCACAAACACACAGAGACATGTACAGCCTACCCATTCTCCATATCCCATCATTTCATAAAACAAAGGTAATTTTAGATATCTAAAAAGTAGGAAAGGCAACATCTCAGAGGAGTCCCTTAAATAAAATACATTCAGTTTTAAAAACATCCGTACTAGCCGGGCTCGGTGGCTCAGCCTGTAATCCCAGCACTTTGGGAGGCCGAGGTAAGTGGATTGCCTGAGCCCGCGGGTTCGAGACCCGCCTGGGCAACTTGGTGAGACCTCATCTCTACAATAAATAAAAAAAAATCAGCTGGGCGTGGTAGCACATGCCTGTAATTACAGCTACTCAGAAGGCTGAGGCGTAAGGATCGCCAGAGCCCAGCAGGTCAAGGCTGCGATGGCCGGGAGCAGCCACCACACTCCAGTCTGGGAGACAAAGTGAGACTCCAACTCAAAAAAAAAAAAAAAAAGAATCCGTACTTTTCCCATCTTGCCACAGGCTAGTAACACATTATCACCAGCACCTGACATGACCCCATTCGCTTTACAGATCCCCAGGGAGACTGAGCCAAGAGGCGGGAGGGATTCGCCAAGGTCCTTCAGGGAGTTGACACCCCAGGCTCCAGGCTCCCAGTCCAGGGCTTCTGGCACCATGTCTTCAGGACGTGTCAAGCTTGGGTGTGATGGTGAGATCATCCAAAGGCAAGTTCCTACCCTGAGACACCTCTGGGGCTGCGACCTTTTTCTCCTGGAGGTGGTGGCCGCGGGTGGTGTGGCCACCTCTGATGGGGAAGTCACTCACCTCAGGGAGCAATGGAAGGAGAGCTGGCGGGAAGCAGGAGGCACAGTGGGGGGCCGAGTGACCCCAAGGCAAGTCTCTTCCCCACTCTGGGCCTGTTTTCCCATTAGGAATACAGGGCTCATCCTATCTGACCAGTGTGCACACGTTCAGGGTTCGTGGGATCAGCTCTCCTAACTGACCTGTCCTGTGCAGATGCATTCTCAGAAAAGTCCTAATCCTGCTCTAACCAGTTGCATTAACTTCTGAATTGCTCCTGACGACTCCAGGATCGTCTCAACTTCCCAACACCCCAGGGCCCTAGGTAAGGCCTCTCCTTGGCCTGGGTGGGAGGAGGAGACACTTGCAGGATTCCCAGGCATGAGAACCACAGTAACCCTGACCACGGCGTGGGCTGGGTGGCTGAAGGAGAGCTGGCAGCGATGGGGTTAAAGCGGAAAATGCACAAGGGTGGTGATCCTCAGAGCGACCACTGACTGGGTACCTGGTAGGCTCCAGGCGCTGTGGGCACACCTCATGTCATGGTGCTTCCCTTGATTGTGCTTTGCAAATGCTGCATGTTTGACAAGTTGAAGATCTATGGCAGCCTGAGGTTGAGCAAGTCATTTGGCACCAGTTTTCCAACAGTTCGTGTCTCTGTGTCACATTTTGGTAATTCTTGCAATACTTTAAACTTTCTCATTATTTTTGCATCTATGATGGTGATCTATGACCTGTGCTCCCTATGTTACTATTGTAATTGTTGTGGGATGCCACGAACCACGCCCATATAAGACAGCAAACTTAACCAATAAATGCTGTGTGTTCTGACTGCTCCAACAGCCAGCTATTCCCTGGTCTCTCTCCCTCTCCTCAGGCCTCCAAATTCCCTGAGACATAACAATATTGGAATTAGACCAGTTAATAGCCCTACAAGAGCCTCTAAGTGTGCACGCACGCACGCGAGAGAGTCCCAGTCTCTCACTTTAAACCCAAAGCTAGAAATGACCGAGCTCAGTGAGGAAGGCGTGTCGAAAACCTATAGAGGCTTGAAACTAGACCTCTTGTACCAAACACTTAGCCAAGTTGTGAAGCAAAGGAATAGTCCTTGAAGGAAATTAAAAGAGCAACTCCAGTGAACACACAAATGATAAGAAGGTGAAACAGCCTTACTGTTGATACGGAGAAAGTTTCAGTGGTCTGGATAACAGATCAAACCAGCCACCACATTCCCTTAAGCCAAAGGCAAGGCCCTACCTCTCTTCAATTTTCTGAGGGCTGAGAGAGGTGAGGAAGTTGCCGAAGAAAAGTTGGAAACTAGCAGAGGTTGGTTCTTCAGGTTTAGGGAAAGAAGCCATCTCCATAACACAAGAGGGAAAGGTGAAGCGGCAAGCACTGATGGAGAAGCTGCATCAGGTCATCCAGAAGATCTAGCTAGATCATGGATGAGGGTGGCTACGCTAAACAACAGATTTTCAGGGTACAAGGAACATCCTTCTATTGGAAGAAGATGCCACCTGGGACCTCCATAGCTAGAGAGAGTTGAATGCCTGGCTTCAAAGCTTCAAAGGGCAGGTGACTCTCTTGTTAGGGGCAGCTGCTGACTTTAAGCTGAGGCCAGTGGTCACTTACCATTACGAAAATCCCAGGGCCTTGAAGAATGATGCTAAATCTTCTCTGCCTGTGCTCTAGAAATAGAACGACAAAGCCTGGCTGACAGCACATCCTTTTACAGCATGGTTTACTGATACTTTAAGCCCAGTGTTGAGACCTGCTGCTCAGAAAAAAAAAGGTTCCTGCTCACTGACCATGCGCCTGGTTACTCAAGCACTCTGATGAAGACCTATAAGGAAATGAATGTTGTTTTCGTGCCTGCTGACACAACATCCGTTCTGCAGCCCATGGATCAAGACGTCATTCACTTTCAAGCCTTATCATCTAAGAAATACATTTTGTAAGGCTATGTCTGCATAGATAGCAATTCCTCTGATGGATCTGGACAAATCCGTTGAAAGCCTTCTGGAAAGGAGTCACCATTCTAGAAGCCATTTAGAACTTTTGTGATTTGTGGGAGGAGGTAAAAATATCAACATTAACAGGAGTTTGGAAGAAGTTGATTCCAGCCCTCGTGGATGACTTTGAGGGGTTCAAGACTTCAGTGGAGGAAGTCGCTGCAGATGTGGTGGAAATAGAGAACTAGAATTACAAGTGGAGCCCAAGTTGTGGCTGAATTACTGTAGCCTCAGGATAAAACTTGAGCAGACAAGGAGCTGCTTCTTATGGATGAGAAAAGAAAGGGTTTCTTGAGATAAAATCTACTCCTGGTGAAGATGCTATGAACATTGTTGAAACGACAGCAAAGGATTCGGAATATTGTATATAAACTTAGTCAACAAGTAACAACAGGGTTTGAGAAGATTGATTTCCTTTTGAAAGAACTCTAGGTAAAAAGATAGGGAAAGTTGATAAGGCAAATGTCATTGCTGTCTTATTTTAAGAAATCATCACAGTCACCCCAGCTTTCAGCAACCCCCACCCTGATCAGTTAGCAGCCTCAACACTGAGGCAAGACCCTCCACCAGCAAAAAGAGTGTTAGTCAATGAAGCCTCAGATGATCATTAGCATTTTTTAGCCATAAGGTATTTTTAAATTAAAGTATGTACATTGTGTTTTTAGACAGAATGGTGTTGCACACTTAAGAGACCACAGTATAGTGTAAACATGGCTTTTGCATGCTCTGGGAAACCAAAAGCTTTGTGTGACTCACTTCACTGCAATATTCGCTTTATTGCAGGTGTCTGGAACCGACCCAGTATCTCCGAGGTATGCCTGTGTTATCACTCTCCCCTCACAGATAAGGAAACAGAGGCTTAAAAGAAATCAAAGGACTCGACCAAGGTTATCCAACTAGCTAGCAGCAAAGTCACATCCAAGCCTGATTGGCTTAATCTGTTGTTGAGGTGACAGGGGCACAACTCAGCCGCCAAGAGCCTTTCGGACCCCGGGTCCTCCCCGCGAACCCCACCCTGCCCGGGTACCCACCTGAGCGCTGGCCGCAGGATGCCATTGCCGATGATGAAGTGCAGCTTCTCCAGGTTGGAGGTGGGCCGGTCCTCCAGCATGCTGTTGCCCTGCACGGTGGACTCCCCGTCATGCAGCCTCTTGGTCACCTGGGCCAGAGGGAAAGGGCAGGCTTGAGCAGCGCAGGTGAAGGTGGGAGTGGTGCCTCCGTCGGCCAGGGCCCCGGCATCTGAGTCTGCACTCTCCCTGGAGAGCAGGATCCAAGGAGTGGCCGGAAGGGCTGGGCTCCTCACCGCTGGCCCCTGCCACTGTCACTCCTTCCGCCATAGGCAGAATGGACACTGGTCCGAGAAGTGACCCACACCCCCAGCCTGGCACCACCCACTTCTAGGGATAAGGCCCCTCTGCAGCATCCTCAGTGCCGTGCCCCCCACCCCCTCCCAGGGAGACCCTTTCAGCCAGGACAGGGACCTGCTCCTCTGACTCCAAGCGGGACCCCTCCCTCTCTGAGCTGGGCCCCACACATGACTCTGGCACCCAGTGCAACCCCCAGGTTCCAACCACTGGTCACCATCACCAGTGTTCCTGGTCCCCATGTGACAGTCTCAGACCGGTTCTTACAAGTTGCTGTTCCCCTCTTGTCCCACAGGTTCCCAGAGCCAGCCCCGCATTCCCAGAATGCACAGAGTGAGCAAGAAGCGAGCAGCAGGAGCAGATGGCGCCGAGAGGGAGGGCTGAGGAAAGCCCCCGCCTCTACTGAGTACCCTCGGCCACCATCGCCTCACCCAGGACCCCACAGAGTGGGCATTTTCTCCCTTGGGCCTCTCCGATACCGAGTGGCAGAGCTGGGGCTCAAATCTGAGGCCATAAGTTAGGCCCAAACCTTACCTGTACAATGACCATTTGTATACCTAACTCTGGATTGCCCTCCACATCTTTAAAACAAAAATTTAGAAAAAAAAAAAAACCTGAGGCCATGAGCCTACAAACAGGATTTTTCACCTCAGGTCGGGGGACAAGACAAAGACAGAGGCCAAGCAGGGGCCCCTGGCTTTGTTGTTGAGGGGCCAGGGTAGGTGTCCTGGAGGAGATGACTCCAGGTAGAGAAGGAGGAGGGGGAATTGCAGGCAGACGAACTGGTGCGCACACATGGGAGGGGGACTGATCCCCAAGGCTTGGTTGGTATCTGGTTCCTCCTCCCCCCACACTGCACCCCCTGCCGCACACACACTAGCCTGCACTATCCCAGAGCACAGGGGCCAGGACACTGCTCCGAAAAGGCAAGGTGACCAAAGAATGAATTCGAACAAACAAATGTGTCAGTGCTCTGGGAGCACTCTTGTCCCACAGAAAAGCTCCCACGTCTGAAAGGCCCTCGGACCAAATACCATGGGTCTGTCCCCTGGCAGGAACTGTTCTCCCTCTCACCTGCGCAGCTCCGAGCCTAACCACTCTTGAGTGCCTCCTCTGGGAAGCTCTCCCTGACCTCAGCCTGAGTTGCCCTCTCACAGCTTCAGGAGTTCCTGTCTGTCCTGACCCCCATGCTGTCCTGCTCCCAGCCAGCTGGGACCCCCCAAGCGCAGACAGCCACTGCTCTCCTCACACGCCTGCCCCCAGGGCCCCAGCTCAGCCGTGCCCCAGCCTGGGCCACTACAGCAGCCACCTGTGTCTGCTCTCACCTCCTCCGTGAGCTTGGACTTCTTCTTCAGGGTCAAGTGCACCAGCTTGTGCCTCACACTGCTCTTCTTCTGCCCCTCGGGGAGCTGGGCCTGCAGGACCAGCGGGGATCGGGGCCAAGTGGCTGAGCTGAAATCAAAGCTGAGTCCACCTGGCAGCAGACGCGTGGGGCTCATCCCGCCTCTACACGAAGTTTACAAGAGGCCCCCACGCTGCCGCCCCACACCCCATCGCCCACCCCCGCCCCCACGCCCCACTAGCCAACAGGCAGACGGGGAAACTGAGACTCAGGAAAAGCAAAGTCAGTATGGAAGCTGACTCTGACTGCAAAGATCCTGTCTGCCCTGCCTTGGGGCCCCCAGTTATGGTGGGCACTTTACAGTTTACAAAACTTTCACACATTGCTTCCCACAATAGGTAAAGGAGGGTGGGCGACATCGAGGCTGAGATGAATCACAGGATACTCCTTCTGCAAAGGAGCCCGAGGCTGGGATGCCAGGCAGCCTTCCCACAGGCCTGGGAGGGAGGCCAGAGGGACAAGGGCCCGAGGGCACCACTGCCTCACCTCGCCCTCGCCCTGCAAGGCCTGCAGCTCCCTCTTGTACGTCTTCTTGCCCAGGGTCTCGTAAATCTTGGTCATCACGGGGATCTTCTCGCTGCCGTCGCTCATGGCTGTGTGGTACTTGGGCTCGGGGAGGTCCCCCATGAACCGGAGGATGGTGATCCAGACTGCCAGGGCTGCCTGGGGGTCGAGCACACACGTCAGAGGGCCGGAGCGGAGGACATCACCAGAGCCAACAAAATAACCCAGCGTTTTGGAGACAGGACTGGAAAAACACCCTCCAGTGTGGCCTGGGCCCCTGCAAGGCGCTGCAGGGAAGACTTCAGTCAGACCCGGTCCCTGCTCTCAGCACCCACTGCCATCACTGGAGACAGGGCTCCATAGCTCCAGCCCCGGCCCCTCCCAGTAGTGGCCCAGAGGCAGGCAGCCTCACCAGCTGGTCACCCTCATCCTCATGGTAGAGCAGCGGCTGTTTGAGAGGCCGCCTGGTGTAAGAGTGCGTGGTTGTGCCCTGGAAGTAAGTGGCAGCAAACTTGGCGAATTTATACTCAGTGAGGTCCTCCTCATCCTCGTCGGGCAGGGGCAGGGCAGCGTCCAGGTCCTCCACCACCATCTCCCTCCGTCCTCGCTCCAGGTCCTGGAGGAGGCAAGAGGTGGGAGGGCCCAGAACAGACTCGGGGCCCAGCTGCTGTCCCCCCGCCTGTCACTGCAGGGCTGGCTCTTTCTCCAGGAAGGGAGAGGCTCTGTTTGCCCTGCCTGCTACCCAGACAGGTCCTTCAGTAGACTTACAGGTAAAAGCTTGAGAATGGCCCTGGAGAGGGATAGTGACTGGCCCAAGGCCGGACGGCAAGCTGGTGGCTAGACATGGCCTGGAACCTACAACCCGCGACCCAGTTCACCTCTGGTCTCCTCTGCTCAGAGGGACCAGGTGGGCTTTAATGCCAAGGGGCACAGGAGGAGGGAGGGCCAGCACACAGGAGTGTGTCAGGGGCCCTTGGAGCCCTTGTCTGCAGCCTGGTACCTCGAAGCCGCTAGGGGCCTGGCCCTCCTGGCCTGGCAGGCCACCCGAAGTCCCCAGGAAGCCAAACATCTTGTCCACCATGTCCGAGTGATTGACAGGTTCATGGCGGGCCCTTTCCATCTGCTCCAAGAGTTCCTTCTTCCTCCGAGCCGCCTCCTTTTCCTTCAACTCCCGCTCAGCATCCTCACGGGCCAGCTGGGCCAGGCGCTCCTGGAGGTTGGGGTGACACAGAAGACATGGTGTGAGCACCTGGTGCCATGGCCTTGGGGAACAAGCTCCCCCTGGGGAGCCCCTGCAACAGCCAGGGCCTCAGTCCCAACCTCCCAACTGCCATGAAGAACGAAGCCTCTGACTGTCCCATCTTGAGCCATGCTCAGCTCAGTTCTCATGGTCCAAAGCAGAGGCCCAGCACCTCTGGGCCACGTGGAGGCTTCTCAATGAGCCAGCAGTAATTCTGCCTGCCTGTCCTTTAAGGCTCAGTGGAAAACCACTGCTCCAGGCAGCAGTCCATGCGTCTACCACCCCAAGAGGACCATGCCAACCCAGCAACATCCCACAGCTGTTGGATTAAGGATCCAGGCCAGCACTGCCCAATAGAAATATGATGCCAAACCATGTATGTAGTAGCCACATTTTAAAAAGTAAAAAGAACCCCAAGTGTCCATGCCATAAGAGACAAGATAGACAAGCGGGGCCTTATCAAACTGACAAGCTTCTGCAAAGTCAAAGAAACCATCAAGAAAGCAGGGAGATAGCCCACAGACTGGGAAAAATAGTTGCCAACTGTATATCTGACAAAGGTCTAACACCTAGGATCGACAAGAAACTTAAATGTGCCAAAAAGAAAAAAACAAACAGCCCCATTACAAAGTGGGCAAAAGATATGAATAGACACTTCTCAAAAGAAGACATACAAGCAACCAACAGATACATGAAAAAAATGCTCAGCCTCACTAGTCATCAAAGAAATGCAAACTCAAACCACACTGAGATACCAACTAACTCCAGTCAGGATGGCCATCATCAATAACTCAGAAAACAACAGGTGATAGAGAGGATGCAGGGAAAAGGGAACACTTCTACACTGTTCGTGGGAGTAAACTAATACAACCTCTGTGGAAAACAGTTTGGCAATTCCTAAAAGACCTAAAAATCGACCTTCCACATGACCCCGCAATCCCCCGACTGGGAATATATCTGGAGGAACTCTAATCACTTTATGAAAAAGATACCTGCACATGTATGTTTATTGCAACATTGTTCACAATAGCAAAAACATGGAACCAACCATGCTGCCCATCAAAAAAGGACTGGATAAAAAAAATGTGGTACATACACACGATGGACTATTATGCAGTCATAAAGGACAAAATTATGAACTTCACAGCAACGCAGATGGATTTAGAGTCCACAGTACTGAGTGATCTACCACAGAAACAAAGAACTGACTATCACATGTTCTCACTCATAAGCAGATCTTGAACAATTATCACAATACTTTAAGAAAAGGATTGGCAGTAGTGGGACAATGCGGGGGGGTGGGGGGCGGGATTGGCAGTAGTGGGAATTTGCTGGGGGGGGGCACACCTCATCAACAAGGATTCCTGCATAATGAATATTTGTATACCTAACCCTGAATTTTACCCCCACATCTTTAAAATAAAAAAAAAATTTAAGTACAAAGAAATAGGTGGACTCAATATATTTTTAAACTCAGTATTCCCCAATTGTTACTTTAGCATGTAATCAATATTATAGAAATAACCCTGGAATATTTTTATATACTTTTCCCCCACGAAGTCCTCGAACTCTAATGTGCACGTTGCACTCTCAGCCCTGCGTCCTTGGGACGAGCCACATTGCGGGTGTTCAGCAACACTTGTGGCTGGAGGCCCCCACATCAGGCAGCGTGGGGGCCTGGGTGCCCTCACAGGGCTCGGGTTTTTATCCGGGTACCATCTTCCAGCTAGGAAGAGCCCTGCTGAGGGCCTGGGCCTCCTCCCGGGCCACAGCCCCTGTCGTGCGGCCTGGCCGGGACCAGGCGCCCAGGGAAAGTTGACGCGATGCTGGCCCAGTGGGTCTAGCCAGGCCACGCTCCAAAGGACGGAAGAAAGCTGCAGGGACAGGTGAGCGCGGAAGGGCGAGTGACACCCGCGACGCCCTGAGGCCCTCGGCTCACCTGGTGCTTGCGCTCGGCCTCCTCCTTGGCCCTCCTGGCGCTCATCTCCTTCCGGAGCTTCTCCTCCTCCGCCAGCCGCATTTTCTCGGCCTCGAGGCGCCGCAGGTACTGAGAGAAGGAGCAGCCGGGTGGGCACGGAAGAGCGTGCAGCTGTTGCCACAGCACTTCCCACCAGTTCTACCCACCCACCCTGAGTTCTGGGACTGGAAGTGACCTTGCCAAATAATTTGGCAGGTAGAGAAACTGAGGCAACTGGGAGATTCTCTAGGTCACACAGAGGGTTGGAGGCACCATTGATCCAAAGCCCAACCAGGTTTGCCTCAGTCTCCTGAAAATTCCCAAGAGCAGCTGGGAGGACAGAAATGCGGGGCCCGGTCCCAGTTTTCTGGGTCCAGTTTTGTCCCCAGAACAGGCAGAACCACAGGTGAGCTGATCCCCCCCAGGGTTCAGAGCCCTTACCTCGGCCCTGAGGCGCCGATGCAACCTGCGGGCGATCATGCCCCGCGCATAGGCCTGCACGGTGAGCACAGCCCAGAGGCGGTGGCGGAAGGCCTTGCGCACCAGGTAGGCGCGGCAGCGGGCCTGGAACTCGATGATGCGCCGGCGGGCCAGGCGGTACTGCTGGTGCAGCTTCCGGGAGCGGTGCAGGGCTTGCAGCCGCAGGAAGCCCAGGCGCATCTGCAAGGACAGCGGCCCCATGCTCAGAGCCCTCTGCCCCTTTCCAGGCCGACCCTCCACTCTCAGACTGGCATCCCCCAAGGCACAGCTCAGGGTCCACTCAGATGAGGGCCCCTTCATAGTTAGAAAGCTGTCTCCTCTCAGGCAAAATATTTTTAGGGATAACCTTGACTCTCCCTGAGTTGGGACCCCGAGGGATTCCCATCCTCAGACCAGGAGCTGCAACCAACCAGTCTCCTTCCTGTCTGCCTCCCCAGCCCTAAGTCCAGGCCACAGTCCAGCTGTCCCACAGAGGTCATGTGCCCAGTCGCTACTGGCCCCTTCCGAGGTCTCTAATAACCCAGTGTGCTCACAACCCACCAACACTCTCCAGGAGAAGAACAACACATTGCTGGCCAGTGGGGAGAAGCCACAAGACCCAGATGCAGACTTTGGGCTGGTGGATTGGTGAGGGCTGGCCATGGCAGGAGGCCAACCAGGCCAGGGCGTGCTGCCCGGGTGCGGGCTAGTCCTGGTGCCATGGCAACGAGGCCAGGTTCAAAGGCCTGGTCGGGGAGAGCAGCCCCATGGGGAGGCTCACCAGCCCGTAGTTCTTCCTGCAGTTGTGTCCACGCCAGTGCCTCTGGATCAGCGTGGCTGCGTTCTTCAGCTTTAGGAAGTTGGACCTGAGACAGCAGCAGTGCTGTGGTGAGTCTCCAAGTAGAGGCAGCCAGGGCACAGGTGAGTTTGGAAGCAGGAGAGCATGCTAGTTCCAGCTCTGTGACTTCCCAGCTATGTGTCCTTAGGCAAGGCATATAACCTCTGTGCCTTAGCTTCCTCATCCATAAAATAGGTAGAATAATGCCTGTCCTGCCTGCCTCACAGGCTTTTCATGTAAGCCCATTAAGGTAGACATTTGAAAGGCATTTGTTGAATGACTAAATGTCTGAACAAATAAGTAAATGCTATAATAAAATGATTTAAAACCTTGAACAGTCTAATTTCCTTATTTATTAGATGAGGAAACTGAGATTTGATGACAGAAGTCCATGTCTTCTGACTGGCCCTGAATTAGCCCAATGCTGTTCCCCCTGTATGCAGCAGACTGCTTCTACAGGAGAACAGTTATCTTCAGCCTGACAGAGGACAGAGAGACCACACATCAGGCAGCAGGTGTCTGCTGAATGTAAAAATAAGGAAAGAGTGAAAGATGGATACGTCAGTGTGCAAGTGACCCAATGACACATAAGCAAGTGACACATAAGCAAATGAGCAGCTGTGGGATAGATGGATAGGTGGATGAGTCGGTAAATGAAAGAACTAATGAAAGAGCAGATAAATTGAATGGATGGATCAACTGATGGATGGCTGAATGGATGGAAGGATGAATTGGTGGATAGGTGGATGGATGGATGGTGGAAGGGTGGGTGAGTGGATGGATGGATGGGTGGGTGGGTAGGTGAATGAAAGAACTAATGGAAGAGCAGACACAGTGAATGGATGGAACGATTGATGGATGATGAATGGATGGAAGGATGCAGTGGTGGATAGGTGGATGGATGGATGGGATGGGTGGGTGAGTGGATGGATGGTTGGATGGATGGATCAATGGGTGGGTGGGTGGATGAAAGAACTAATGGAAGAGCAGATACATTGAATGAATGGATCAATGGATGGAGGGATGGAAGGATGAATGAATTGGTGGGTAGGAGGATAGGTGAATGGGTGGGTGGATGATGGATGGTGGATGGGTGGGTGAGTGGAATAATGAATGGATGGACAGATGGATGGGTAGGTGGATGAAGGAACTAACAGAAGAGCAGGTAAATCGAATGGATGAATAGATGGATGGATGGATGGATGAACAATAGACGGACTGGTGGGTAGATGGATAAATGGATGAATGGGCGGATGGATGGATGGATGAGTGGATGGATGGATGGACGGATGGATGGGTAGGTGGATGAAGGAACTAATAGAAGAGCAGGTAAATCGAATGGATGAATAGATGGATGGATGGATGAATAATAGACGGACTAGTGGGTAGATGGATAAATGGATGAATGGGCGGATGGATGGATGGAAGAGTGGATGGATGGATGGATGGATGGATGGGTAGGTGGATGAAGGAACCAATGGAAAAGCAGATACATTGAATGGATGAATAGATGGATGGTTGGATAATAGACGAATTGGTGGGTGGATGGATGGATCGATGAGTGAATGGATGGATAGATGGATGGGTGGATGGAAGAGTAGAGAGATGGATGGATGGATGGGTGGGTGGGTGGACAGATGGATGGGTGAATGGATGGGTAGATGGATCGGTGAGTAGGTGGAAAGGTGGATGGATACATGGATAGATGGATAGATGAATGAATGAGTAGATGGATGGATAGATTGGTGGGGAGGTGTATAGGTGGATGGATGGGTGGGTGGGTGGGTGGATGGATGAATGGATGGATTGGCGGGTAATTGGAGAGATGAATAGATGGACAGATGAATGGATGGATGGATGAGTGGATGGATAGATAGATTGGTGGGTAAGTGGCCAGATGGGTGGGATAAATGGACGGGTGGGTGAACAAATAGATGAATTGGTGGGTAAGTGGAGAGGTGAATAGATGGATAGATGGATGGATGAATGGATGAATAGAGAGATTGGTGGGTAGGTGGTTAGACAGATGGATGGATGGATGATAGATGGTGGGTGGGTAGGTAGATGGATGGATGGGTGGATGGATGGGTTGATGGGTAGGTGGATGGATAGGTGGAAGGAGAGAGAGAGGGAGTAACCATATGAACTGTAAAAGGGGAAGGTTGTGGAATTTTTGTGGAGCCTGACTCATACTCCAGAGTCAGTCCTGCATGTCTGTAAACGGCCACAGGCGTCCACACGTCCCTCACATAGAATAAGAGACACACTCTGTAATTTGTAAACTCTCACATTTTCTCTTTGTGAAATCTCATCAGCGTCTAAGCTGAGAAGATGCAGCATCTAACTAAGTTGCATACTTGTTGGGAGGTGGGGTATACTGCTTGTGGTGTGTATTGGTTCCTTCCTGTGGTTTCCTGCTTGGCAGGGTTCAGCCTGTGCTGGGGTCTGCATTATTTGGCTCACTTGGCACAATGGGTCCATGTAAATATGTATCTGTGTCCCTGTGTTCCCATGACCATGTGTGCACGCTGTGCATGTGTGTGCATGTTTATTCCTAGCGTTCACCTGTGGAGCAGAGGTAAGCCATGCACATGCATGGATAGAGAGATGGATGGGTGGGTGGGTGGATAGATGGATGAATGGGGAGGAGCTGACTGGAACACGCACCTGTCCTTGAATCCCCGGATGACCTTCTGGAGGAGGATGACTCTGTCGGTGATGGCTTTGTCCCGCTCCACCTCCAGCAGCATGTCGTGGTGGTCCTGGAAGGCAGAGCTCCTGAGCCTGCCAATGTCTTCTCCAGGGCCACCTGCTCAGTCCCAGCTGGGGCCTCTCTCCACTTGAAGCCCAGGCCTAGGACTCAGTTGGGCCTCACAGGCTCCCAGTCTGCTTTGGCCCCACAGGGAGGCCTCCCATAGCCACCAAGACGGACAGGGGCTGTGGCTGTTTTCCAGAGGCCCCAGCGGGACAAGGGAAGCAGAGGAGGCTGATTTCACTGTATGGGGTCAGAGTGCCCCCCATACACACAGGTCAGCTTCTTCCCTCTCATCATCTCCGCCCAAACCCTCTGCTTCCTGATGTCCCGGTCACATCGACCCCTGGCCTGGCTAGGCCGTGGTCATTTCTCTCCAGAGTCTTGGCAGCAGCCTCTCAGCCAGAGGTGTTCTGGCCTCCCCACTGTTCCCCCTTCACAAGAAGCCAGAGGGATCCTCCTAAACACGAACTTGATGGTGACCCTACATTGACACCCTTGGTCAAGCCTGGGCTCTTCACCTTGGCACTCAAGGCCCTCAATCATCCGGGCCCTGCCAAGTTCTCCAAGCCGTCTCCTCCTTGCTCCTGAGCCCCAACCCTCACTTGGGTTGGACAAAACCTTATTGATTCATTCAATGCCTATGAAGTGAATGTCTCCATGTGCCAGCACTGCGCTAGGTGTTGGGGGCCGGGCGCCACAGTGAACCGGGGTGGCATGGCCCCGGCCCTTAGGGAGGTAGCACCTCATGGGGGAGCCACATCCGGCACACAATCGTAGACACACAGGGCCTAGGCAGAGGAGCTGCTCAGCAGAGACTTTCTGAATGAATGAAGGATAATGACACGTTTGGCCTCTCAAAACCATGGCCATTCCTGAAGAGCCCAGTGAGGTGAGGAAGGGGGTGACTTGCTCCTTCGAGTTCTCTGGCATGAGACACTGTTGTGATTCCTGCCTCCCCTGCTTCATCCCACCCCGCTGGGGCTGGCATCGGATCCATCCAGGCTGGAAGCCCTGCTCTCTGCCTCCTAGACACCTGGTGGGCAACTCACATCTCTTCTCTGAGCCTGAAATGGGCATAATGCCTCCTACCCCATAGGGCTGTTTCAAGGACTGGATGAGGTCATGGATGAAAAGCCCTCACCCAGGGCCTGGCCCATGTGGGATACACGGGCAGGGAACTTTCTTGCCGATGAGGAAACGAGGGCTCAGGGAAAGAAAGGGACTTGCTGAAAGCCCCTCAGCCAGAAGAAGTTAGACAAGGCCCAGACGCCCCCCCAGTTAAGGCCCACCCCCCATACCAGAGGAAGGAGCCCTGCCCTGTCACCCGGGACACCAGACATCTAGTACAGCGGAAATGGAAATGAGGAAGCCGGGTGCTGGGAGTTCGCACAGTCCCTGCTGCAGCTGTCCTGCCGCCGCCAACCCCCAGCTGTCTCTCTGAGGCCATGATGCCTCAAGGTCTCGCGTCCTGCTTCCCTCCCCCAGCTGCCCAGGCAGCTATGGGAGACAGAGATCTCCCTACGGAGTGACCCCAGCTGGTGGTACACTGCAGACCCCAGCGCAGGCTGAACCCTGCCAGGCAGGAAACCACAGGAAGGAACTAAGACACAATCACGAGCCCCCCACACAGGCCCACCCCAATTTACAGATGGGAAAGTGCGACTCCAAAGGAGCCAGCGACCTGCCCCGCATCCCAGGCGCACAGCCAAGGGGTGCGATTTGAATCCCGGCCTTCTTGATGGACAGCCCACTTCTGTCTTTCAGTTTCTAACCGTGGTCAGGGCTTCAACCCCACTGGCAGGTTGTGAATGATCTCAAATACCAACTTCCCTTCCCTGCCGCGGAGGCCATGTCCTGCAACACTCCCCAGCCACACGCCGGCCCAGCTCTGCCCCGGTTGCCGCAACGCCCCCTGTGTGAACTCCTGAGGACCCCGCCCCACCGTGATGGGAGTTCACAGCCCCTTGGGGCAGCCCAGGGACAGAGGCTGTGCTCACCTTCAGGAAGATCTTGGTTTTGCCAATCTGCCAGTCATCATGGGTGCCTAGCACAGCCTCAGCCATGCGCTGGCACGTCCCACGAAGGTCACCCTGGGTGGAAATGAGAGGCACAGGGGAATGGGCGGCCTCTCCAGTGGGAGGGCCCCGGAGTGTCCCTCCCGAGACTGGGAGGCAGAGCTCTGCCCCAGCTCTGCCCCGACTCGATGTGTGACTCCAGCTGGGCCCTGCCTTCTCTGATCCTCAGTTTTCCCCTTAGCTCAGCTGGACGATGCGATTGCAAAACCCTCTCGCACGACTGACATCTAGTGCCCACTTGGAGCCTGGTCTTGCTCCTTACACCACCCGCGTGAAGTCCACGTCAGTGGAGTGTGGCAATCAAAACCCTCTCATGTGTCTGTCCCACTGCCTGACCCCCGATCTTGCCGGCCGTACCTAAGAGGCCGGGCAGATGTCAAGCCCGGCTCGCTGTCCCCATGAGAAAATGGGGCCCTTGTCCAGCCAAAGCTAGGGTCTCCCCTCCCACCATCCACACGCCCATCCCTGCACCTGCTTGTAGGCCGGCTTCACACCGGGCAGCAGCACACGGTACCGCTCCACAAACTCCACAAAGCTGTAGCGGATGGGGTAGCCAGCCCGGCGGATTCGGATGGTCTCCATCATGCCTGAGTACCGCAACTGGCGCACGCACAGGTGCCGGTCAAACAACTGCCGGGCACAGGGCCAAGGGTATCAGGGCCCAGGCTTCTGCGGGGAAGCCAACCCCACTCTGCTCTTGACCAGCCTGGACAAAGGCCCAGAGAGGCCAAGGCTACACAGCACAGGAGGAGCAAAGCTGGGACAGGCTCCTGTATCTGCATTCAAAGCCACACAGCATCATGAAGTGAGGACCCTCATGGCAGTGGGGCTGTGGGCTTGGGAGCACAGAGCAGACACAGGTCAATTCCCCCAAGCACACTCAGAGGGGGCTTCATGGAGGAGGCGTCTCTGCCCTGAACTCTGACAGGAGAGGGAGCTCTCCAAGACTGGCAAGGGGTGAGTATATGCAGAGATGTGGAAGCCAGAAGCACAGGACTTAAAGGAGTCGTGGGGGGAATGAAGAGGCTAGTCTGGGCCACAGTTATGACTGCACAGGCAATGGGTGCTTTGCACAGCCCCGGGGAAGCACACTTCATGATGCAGCCACCCTAGAGTTGCAGTCATTCAGATAGCTGCAACTACTTAAGGAAGCTGTACACTCTATTAATTCAAGTAAAGTTGTTTTCATGATGGCTGCAGGGCAGGGGCCAGGCCCTGGGGTTGGCTTGTGGGGGTGCTGAGGAGGGAAAGCAAAAAGCAGGTGTGAGGAGTGGGGGGCTTCATCCCAGGATGACGGGAGCCAGGGAGGGTTGGGAGCAGGCAGAGACCGGGTCAGGCCTGCATGTGAGAACAAGGTCACTGCGGGGGGG